ACGAAGAAAGAAAAAGATATTGCAAAAGTTATTTTTCAAGATGTAATTGTTCCGATGCACGAAGTTACATAAAGTGGAGGCATCAAATCAACCTGAAGTGCTTTTGGCACTTCTATGTTTTCTAATCCTGTCATCTGTCCTCGTCTACTCAGAGAGAATCAGAGATTTCAAAGTAAAACTATAAAAATATATTTGTTCAAATCTAACAATTTACCAAAATCTCTCTCAGACTACATGTATTTATAACTTTTTAACAATTTGTCTGTTGTTATGAAAACTTTTGTTATTCGTTTTTTTTCGCGCTAGAACGCATTGATCCGCGAGAAGCCAACAAACGGCTGCTTTTAAGCAGTTATTGTTGGAAGGCGACCTAACAATAACAAAGTTAAAAGAAAACTTGATTTATGTAGACTTTCACTTCAAAGCAAAATGTAATTAAAAAATGTCAGAAAAATCTTTGATCTCGCAAATATATTGCAAGATAACAATATAGACTGTATATGTGTTTAAAAAAAGTTTTTTTTTATTTTCTTTGTTATGAAATACGAGTTCAAATCTCTTGCCAACTGCAATCTTCTTCTTGGATGTACTTTCCACACTTTCCTCCTATATCTCTTTCTTTTTCTCAGAGTCTACACGTATCTCATTTAACATGTAGAAAGTGTTAAGAAAGTGCAGGCAAGATCAGTCAAACCATTAATTTTTAAACATTCTCTCTCACACACACACACACATAATTGTAGATGAAAGATTATTATTACGAGTGTCTCTCCAAAATGTTTCCCATCTTTAAAGGACGGCGCTATATGTGGGTCACCAACCTTTAATTTCGGATATCGATTTCAGGTTGTTGGTGAGACACTGTGTGTCACATAGACAGACAATCTTATTCTCTCATTAAAGTTAGTTTACCTTACAGGTGTCCACAGTGGCCATGAGGGTCACTGAGACGTCGCACACTGTGATACTTTGAGTGCACGATGAAGCAAAACATATTCCTCGATCACTCGCGATAGATAGATCACAACGATACACGTTGATCAGCGCGTAAACCTCATTAAGACTCAATGTCTTTAAAAAAAAATAATAATAAACAATGACACTCGTAACACAACGACGAAAAAAGAGCGCCGAGAGATAGTAAAGAATACAAGGAGAAAGACCTGTCTCGCGGCGCTGCCGTCCGAAAACTCATGGTGCGCGCTTGATGCAGCAGCCGTCACGCTCTGCCCCCACTGCCGCCACCACCGTCGTCGTCGTCGTCGTCGTCGTCGCCGCTG